ACTTGTCTTCACTCCCTGCTGAGAACGCTCTTGTACAGTTTCTGGCAGCACACACGGCCAGGCTGTCCGACTGGTCCCATTTGCTCTCCCTGCACAGACTGGTTGCTGTCTGAAGGTGAGGGGTGCTGCACCAAGCCCAGAGGGATCCCTGAAACACCCCCTGTATTCAAGGCACAGGAGTTCCTTTCCCACAAAGGCTTCCTGCTCTGTTCATCTCGCCTGTAGATTCACGTTGTTCTGTTGAATTCTTGGAGTAATTGATATGCTGGTTTGGACATACTTCAATCATACCTCTTCAAAACCAGCAAAGGGCTCTTCATGCACAGCATTGTTCAGAGCTCACCAGCAGCACAATGAGCTGATTTACCAGCCAGAACGCGTAGCCCTGCTTACCAACAAGGCAACCAGCACAACCTTTAGATGTGACTCACAGCAAAAGCTTACCTGGCTGTTTGGATCTCCAAGTAAGTTACATATATGTGGCACTATCTTACTCAGCGTTAAACTCTGAGCTCCAGATCTGGGAATAAAGAACAAAAGAGCACCACTGTGAATCACAGAGCAGGCTTGTGTACACAACACCGGTTTGCAGAAGGTTCTCACTTACGCATTGAGTGTTGCAATAAGGCAGAGGCAAATCCCTTCTCTTGTCCGAAAATTCTTGTGTTTGAATCCTCCCAGCATCCTGTCCCACACGTACTGTGGAAGACAGAAGAGGGAGTGAGACAGGAAAAACAGTCAGTGGGGGAAGAAACAGATTCTCTCTTCCAGCAGACTTATACCACGCCATCTCTGGAGCTTAAATGTAAGATTTAGGCCCATCCAAGTAGAATAGGACAAGAAGTAGCAAGATACTTTTAGATCTGACTGATTCTTTGTTCTATGCTAACTCCACAGTAACTCCCCACTACTTAAAACAATATTCATACTTACAGAATGCAAGTACCTTCCAAAGACCCAGCACAACTACTCTGACGTCTACACAACCCATCCCATCCCTGGGAAATCCACTGACACTCACACTCCCATGTGTATCCTGTCGTGCAACAGTGTTCTCAAGTGAGGCAAATATCTTGTAACAAGGCGTAGGGAGATGAAGTCATTTCAGACAGAGCCACAGGAGAAAAGCCTCTGACAGAAAAAAGTTTTCCTTTCCAGTCACTCATGCTGTAGAGCGCTGTCAAACATACCTGAGGGTTAGCAGCTTGTTCCATGATTTTCAGCAGCAAGGTCTGATCCTGCTCCCTCACAGAGTCTTTAGAATCTCCCAGTCTATCAAGTAAACTTGGCAGCACTGAGGAAAGAAAACAGCAACATCCAAATCCCTCAGGAAAAAACTGGCACAGTGGCACAGCTCCTCTGCTCTCCCCCCACCCAATGGAGGAATCAGATCTGCTGCCCTTCAGCTGAGCCTGAAACCACCCAGAGCCTCCTGAGTGCTCTCCTGGGGAGAAACCAAGCTTTGTGTACAGCAGCCAGAGGGGATGCCAGCAGAGCACCGGGGACATTCACACACAGCCCCCTCACCTGTGCCAATCTGGGCCTTGAAGCGATCTTGCAAGCGGGACACGAGTGCAGAAATGATGTCAATCCCCAGGAGAACCACCTGCAAGCACAGGATAGACACTGTTTTAGTGTGCACTACAGCTGTAATTGCTGCATAATGCTAAATTCATACATATACATGTCCAGTGTAAACAAACCATATACATAACTCCTGCGGTATTTGCTGTAATTAATTGCAATTATTACAATTACAGTTAGAAAACGTGCACTAGGAGCTGCTTAATTATTCACTGGCAGAAATTAAACTCAACTCTTTCATAACATAACTGAAACCTATGGAAAGACACCTTATTTGAGAGAAGCTTCAGATCAGAAAGCCCCCCTCTGATTAATTACATTTAGGAGCTACAAAAAGATACATTACATACTGAATATATGTGTACCCTGCATATGAAACACATGGCAAGACCCTATAGACCAGGATCATGCTGGTATGAGACATTTCTCTCTAAGCTTTTGGAGAAGCACTGAGGTCAGTCATGCCTAGAAGTGTCAGGTACAGCCAAGATTCTGAGGTGGTGCCACCAGGGTTGTCCCAGCATAGCCCAGCTCCCTGTACATATATCTAAGCATAAATATATACACATACATGTCTATGCTGTCTGTACATACACATAAATAGGCATATATACACATTTTTTTATTTTTAGATTTTAAATTTTATTTTACATTTTTTGCTGAGTTGGAAGGGACCCATCAGGATCATCGAGTCCAACTCCTGGCCCTCCACAGGACACCCCAAGAATCACACCACGTGCCTCAGAGTATTATCCAAACGCTTCCTGAAACTCCATCAGGCTTGTTGCTGTGACCACTTTCCCCGGGGAGGCTGTTCCAGTGCCCAACCACCCTGCGAGTGAAAAGCCTTTTCCTGACATCTAAGCTAAACCTCCATATATATAAGTCCATCTACACCCCCTGTACGCACACACAAGCGTGTGTATAATCGCCCACGCACACATCCACACTCGCTGCGCATCCCCTGGTCGTGTACATGCCCGGGGAGGAGGGGAACAGCCGCCCCGCACAGACATCTCCATCATCCACACGCACACGGGACCGGACCGGCCACTGCCGCGGGTGCCCAGCAGGGGGCGCGCCCCGTCCCCGCTGCCGCCAGCGCGGCTGCCCCGCCCCTATGCAAATGAGCGCCGGGCAGGCGCGGAGCACTCTGGGTAAGCGCCACCGCCGCCCACAAATGGGCTCGAACCGGGCGCGGGGCCGCCCCGAGCCGCCGCTCCCCGCGCGACCCCGAGCCGGCCGGCGGGAGCGAGCGGGCCGGGGGCGCGCAGCCCCTCGCCGCGACCTCGGCCGCAGTTCGCCCTCCCCTACGGGCGGCGCGCCCGCAGCCGCCGCTCAACCGTCCTTATCTGGGGGTAGCGCGGCTGCTCAATGAGCGTGTGGCGAGGGCAGCCCTGCTAACGCCTAAAGCAACACAGCGGCGCCCGCTCCGTGCGCGGCGCAATTTTTGGAACCTCGCACCGCGGCGAGTGCCCGGCGCGTCCCAACGACACCCGCCCCGCGGCTGGGAGAGCAAGTCCGGTCCGGTCCGGTCCGGGCTGGCACCCGCCCCGGCGACGTGTACGTGAACTGCTGCGATGTGACACGACCGGTTGAGGCCGGCACCCCTCTCCCTGCCCCCCTCCCATCAACAACCGATGTTCCTGAGCGCTGTTCTGACTCCTGCTGGAGTCGCCACGGCTGCTCTGCACACCAGCGGGCCGTCCACAACAACCCTCTGTCTGTCCCATGGATTCAGCTCCGGAGAGGCCAGGGAGCCATGCATGGTGTGTACAGGAAACAGCCTGCAACTCCATGTCCAGTCTGCCAAAAAAAATTTCCTAAATACAAGCTCCTGGCTCCTAACTTCTCCCAACACACATTCTCCAAACACCTCCTGCAGTTTTCCCCCTCAGAGTAACAGATCCTTCAACCGTGTCATTTTTTTATTTTAATTCAACATCATTTGCAGCATGCCGACAAGATCTAGAATCTATTTGTACGCCAAAGGAGAATTTTCCTTGTGCTTCTGTTAAGCCGTGTTTCGTTTTCACATTCATCTTGCACAGTGGATTTAATCTACCATTGACAAATGCTCAGCCAGCTGCCCTAAGCCCCGTCGCTGCCCGCTTGTCTGCCAGCTCACCCGGAGCCTCCCGGCTGGGGTCGGGCAGCAGAGCCCCAGCAAGAGAGTGGATCCTCATTAGCGGAGCGATGCTTTTAGGGAAAATCAATGGGATTCTGAGTGCCAGTCACCATTCACAGCTGTCTGATCAGAGTCCCATCACACCAGCATCCTGCACAGAGATAAGTGTGCTGCCTGCAATTACAGAGATGTGCCCCAGGGGTAAATTCGATCCCGGGAGAGGAAGGGATCCATCTCTTCTTCAAACTGCCTGCAAGCCAGAAAGAGTGAGGGGAACTCATCGCTCAAACATGAAAGGAAACACATGCACAGTGCAAACATACCCTGCAGTTTACCCCAGGATGAGGCTGGGAGGACAAGCTACGCTTCCCAAGACTTTTTGCTGTTGTGCTTATAAAAATGGGGATTTATTGAGCACAATGATTACAGTGGCACTTGGACAGCTATTGAGGAAACAGACACTGGGGTGAGCAGATGTTATTCCCGACCATGCTGGACTCATTTATCAACCCCAATGTGCCACCTGCCTCAAACTGCTGAAGGTCAGAGGTAAAAAGTTGAAATCATGTATGGATTTAGAGAGCCAGCGGATCCACTACAGACAGATAACAGACAAGCCAGGGCATGGCTGGCAAACAAATGAATAATGAATTGAATTCCAGCCCTTGTTGCATTGAACTGACTGAAGAGCCCACCTGTTCACCACTGAAGCAGTTACTCAGCTCTGCCTGAACTAACAAACCAGTGACCAGGAGGAACCTCGGGAGAGGGGAGACTCTCAGGGCCAGAGCAGGGATGGGCCCTGCCAGCAGACACCCCATTCCCTGATCCTGCAGCAGGGCCTCTCTCCAGGGAAGCCAGCTGGCCAGCGCAGTTCCACACCAAGGCAAAGGAAGGGCAGCTCTCCACCCGAAATTCCAGATAATGCTGCAGGGCTGATAACTACAGAGCTATTCCAGGCCTTTACAGCAGCACAGGTCTTTTAGCCCCTACTTTATATACAGGCCCCCAAAAGAGCGATCTCAGAATCAGAAACACGCATCATTGTGTGCTCCGTCTGAGGCTCTGCTGCTCTGCTTATTTGACTCCTGAGGTTCCCCAGTATAGTCCATAATAGTCTGGGTGGCAAGTTACGCCACCCAGAATTCAGCTCCATTGGCATCTGCTGCTGCTTAGTCATGTCTTGGAGCACTTCCTGTAGGTGCCAGGTGCTGTCAGCAAGCCCTTCTCCTGCCTCTGACTACCAGGTCAGTCAAGGATTAGTTCCCAGGATGCCACACAGCCTCTTTTTTCTTAAGAGGTCAACAAAAAGTTATTTCAAAGAACTCAAAGCATCTGTCCTTTAATACCTGGGTATTATACACCTAAATATGCTCCCATAAAGGGTAAGAAAGCTGCACAATCCAGCAGCAGCTGATCCAGCACAAAGTGACCAGAGTGAATCACAGCCTGCACAAACTGTGGTGGGGAGAGGCAAAGCCTTTCCTCCACTCTGCATCATGCCACATGCAGCAGAGATGCGATGGCTGCTGCACGAACCTTTATCCCATGTCTCTTGCAGGGAAGCAGCAATGGGCTGAGCACCACATCCCCACTGAGTGGTTTCACTCTGCTGGCCTTCTGCTGGATCTTCCACACCTGGCAGCTTAGGAACCAAATGGAAATGAGGGAGAGAGCTCCTACCCGAGCTGTGTCACCAGCTTGCTTCATGCTGTTTCAACATGCTCATCTCCACCAGTGGTGACACAGCTTGGCTATTTCACTTTGAAGTCTCTGCCTGGGAGGTTTTTCTTGGAGGAGGAAAGGGAAATGGAAGAAAAGACTTCTAAGTCTCACCATGAAAAGAAAGATTGGTAAGAGAATTCAACCAGGTTTTTTTGAACACTTGCTTAGATTGTCTTTTGGATTCATAAACGAAGACATGGAGATGCACTTGCATAATTTAAGTATGCAAATCTAATATATTTCTGAAAACAGGAGAACACTTCAGACTACACGGGGAAACCCAAGGCAAGCACTGATGCCCCACATCACTGCCTGTCTGACCAGCAATAAACAGTCAGACAGGGCTGTTCTAATTCCTCGCGACATGAAACATCCACCACAACTGAACTGGGCACCAAAGTTAGATGACATTAGCAAATTTAATTTTGAAGTCAGGTACATATTTTGGGTCAGCACAGCAGTAACAAAACTCCTGGCAGACAGAGAAACATGGAGTTAACTTGTGAAATGCTGACTGCTGTATTCCACCTGCACTCGACCACAACCATATCCACTCTGAAAGAGTCCATCTCCTTCTACCATTCCAGCAATTAACACTTCATGTTCCAAGGCAGGGATCACATCTGCACTGGCAGCATCAGTACATCTTCCCAGCCCAACAATCCTAGCACAGACACAGGTTGTTCTGTACAACACAATTTGCAAAACCATCACCAGCAAACAATGCAGTAACAGCAGCACAACTGGTTTTACTGGGATGACTACAAGCTGAGGTCTAAAAGGGTTGAGCAGGGGAAGACTTGAAATAGTTATTCCTGGGTTCTTTCTTTTCCATGAGACACCACCCATTCTATCACAGACACCACCTTCAAAATCCCCACACAATTTTGGGTGCTGGGCCATTGATTTGCCATTCAATACAGCAATGCCTCAAGGAAGTATCTGCTTGGTTTGAATACGTAAGTTTTTACACTAAACATGGATCACAGTCTTTTGGAGTAGCTACCTGGAAGAAAAATGACACATTTATTTCTTACCTACCACCAATTTCTAAATCTGTGAAGTTCAGAGAATTTAACTAATTAACATGTGAGTTTTTCTTTACCAAACAGAACAATCTTATAGTGACTTTCTTTTGTGTTTAAGATACTGATGAGAGGCCAGATATCTATTATGGATTTAGAAGAATGGAAAAAAGAGCTACAGAAACCATTCAGAGGGGTTTTTTCTGCCCCACTGTACAGGTGATCAGTTATTCTGCCCAAAACAAGGAGTTACACTAAGCAATACCTAAGCAATACCAGACCAAACAAAGACTTGTTATGGCTGAGAACAGTCACAGTGAGTCAGAAACATCCCTCTGTCCTCCCTTAGCAGGGACACCATATCCTGTACACTGGAGAGTATCAGCACTGAGGGGCTCCTAGCATCACTGCATGAATATCAAAGTAGCAGCACACTGAGCAGGCCTGACAGGATTTAAACCACACAACAGTTTCCATCTCTATATCCCTTTTCCCAGTCTCTCCTACGTCATGCTTGAAGATCTTTTCTCTTCTCTTGGCAATACATCCAGAGACATCTGTCTCCTTCTGAGGACAGCCCATGACAACAGCCCTCCCTAAAGGCACTGAATCCCAGGTTGCTCATGCTGTCTGTGCTGTGGCACTACCCCAGAGGAAAATCCAGAAGGTACTGACTGCCCTGTGCTTCTCCACACAGACAGGTTCCCAAAGCTCCACTACTTGAGGTCTCCCCTCAGTCCAACATCATTTTGCAAGTTTATTTTCCCTAGGCCTCCATAGCAACACAACTCTGAGCTCCTCTGACCCTTGCAGGCCGACTGAATCACCTTTCCTCACGGTGACGACAGCCAGTAGTGTCCCAGCAGTCCCCACACTACAGTCCCATCCATCTGAGCTTCCAGCAAACGCCTCACTTTAAAACACAAGGGGCAACACAACTTCCCACAGGTCCTCTGGGACTGGAGAGAGGGAGAACTGCAATCAGCCCACATCGTTAACCCCCTGCTGCTCCAACGCAACAGCTCAGAGCACAAACTGAGCACTTCTAAACTACTGCTTGTAAAAAGCTATCACGAAATCTGTGAATTAAGGTTCACAGCTCACACCAAAATTCTGGGGACCAGTTTACTTGATGTCAACTCAGAGAGCCTACAATGGTGCAAGCACTGTGGGACAGTGATGAAGGAGAGTAAAGCCCATGTGACAAGTGACAGGCTGCCAGGGTTCACTGCTGGGCTGATGGAAGCAGGTGAACTAAAACACCCAATGAAACCACCAAAACTTGGTTAGTAAAAGTCCTCCTTCATTTACAAACCTGGTAATAGATGAGCAACTTAGTAAATATTGCCTAGATCTAGAGTGAAATAAATCCCAGAAGAGCTAAAGTAATTTAAACGTTTAAAAGTTGTCAGAAATGATCAATACATAGATGTATTTTTACTGCTACTGTTAGGACACAAGGGTACATTTCCTGTGCAAAAGCAAAAAATCCCAAGAACTACTTTCTGGATCCAGTAAAAAAAGCCAACAAAAACCCCCTCAGTTGTCTCTTGATCTCGGAGCTACAGATCTGGTATAACACGAGTAATTAAAAGCAATTTAAGGAAATGTACCACAGAGCAAAAAGTTATCACTACAAAGACTCCTCAAAAACAGAGTGATGCTTAAAAGAACATGATCACTCTGAAATATGGTCATCCACTTGCAGGAGGGCTGACAAATATGTCCTAAGTGAGCCAAACCGCTCCCTGCCCTTCCTCTGCCCAGGGGAACCAAAGGGATGAGTTCCAAAGAATAACTAATTCACCCTCTTTTGCAAAGATTTTGAACTGGTCCTTGAACGGTTGCATGTGATGAGAAGAGCAGCAGCCACTGGGCTCTGTCCAAAGGACACAGAGGGAATCACAAGTTGCAGAGTCACTGCTGTGGAGCACAGGTGGCTTTTCTACTTCGAGCAAGGTCAAAACACCAGACAGCACAGCAGGTAAATCACCACTGACATAAACTCCAGTTGTGCTCCATCTCCAGGGAAGCAGCACTCATGGTAATAAAACAGGAGGCTTTGCAGTTGAAAGCAGAGTCTCAGCTCATTTCACACTTCTGTGTCTCAATTACCCCAAACACTGCTGAAAACCAGGAGCGTTGTTTCAGAAAGGTAGTCCGGTTCATGCAGCACCTGACAGGTATGGATACCTGCACAGCAGCACTCAATGCTTCATGTCTTTGTATGAAACAACATCAAAATGAAACACCTGCACTACCAACTGCTATTGCCTTTGGTTCCTCACCACGAAGCAGTTATATATCTTAGTCACAAACACTGCCACTATTCCAAACATTTCCACTGCCTCCAGCTGAGCACTTACACTTACAGCCAGGTCCTCAGCCAATAAGGAAAAATGAAATAGCTCTGTGAGCACTGATGAGATCATGCCCCAGCATCAGCTTAGGATCAGGACGACCACATCCTTGTAGCTTTGGTGACCAGCTGCAGCTCAGGAGTTCAAGGCATAATGAAGCAAAATACAATGAGTGCTCTTACAGAAAAGCAACAAGAATATGTCAGAGAAAGAAAAAAAAGCCATTGCATTGCCCTGCTTTGTTTTTCACAGGAAAACTGAAAGCCTTTCTCATGGCAACTAATAAATTGCTAGCACAGCACAATGTGCCTTATTAAAAGACCAGGTTTGGTTCACCTAACAACAACGCTTTCCCCTCCATTAGAGGCAAAAGACTGCTACAGTTCACAGAGCAAGTGAGGAATCACACTGGTAATTTGCCTTTAGGCAGAACCTTATTAGCTGGAGCACCTCAAAGTTTCTAGCACAGAAGCAGTGACCCCAACTCCATCTCTAACACCGACAGGAACAGAAAAGCTCAGCATGCTCTAGTATTGAAATAGAAGTACTTCTGAGGGTTTAGACAGCATCTGATAAAAAACAAGGCAAGCCCACAACCTAGCAGAAAATCCCCAACAGTCCTCTTTGCTCCCTTAGGACTCACAAAGACTAGAAAAAACTGTGAGGATGCTCAAATATCAAGACACTCCCCTTGATCACTAGTTCCCAAGCTTCTGAACATCTGCACTTCCAGACTACACCATTCAATACACCCTTTATGAGCAACAGCAATCCTGTGCTGACAGGCTGCATGGACAGCTTCAGGAGGAGGGCACCAAATAGGTGCAGACACAGCCGAGTTCCACCAGCTGCTGGAATGTGATAAAAGCTGGGGATCAATCTGGGAGGCAAAGCAGCCACTGCGGGGAGGAGTGGGCAGCAGCTGACTTGAGCAGGGTAGTTACTAGATGCTGGCATCTCTTGCTAGATCACAGTTAATGAGGTTTTGTTCTTGCCTTGTTTGGGAAGAAAGGAACACATGCAGCCAAGAATGCAATAGCATTTTCACTAGCCATAGCCCTTGTAAAACTCTGGAAACATCTTAAGACCTAAAGGTTTCACAGCACCTCCCAACCCTGCACAGACAGACTGCTCAGCTTGTACCACACAGTCCTACACCCTTGAGAAGAGTCTCCAGGCATCCTACTCACTCTCTATCTGACCCAATCAGGAGAAAGCCCTGAGGATGATCCTTAAAGATATGGGTTAAACCACTTCTCAGTCTCTCCTACACCAGTGAGGGGTGCACCTGAGCTAGATCTAACCCAGCATCTACAGCAGCCATAAGATCTAGCACAACGTATACATCAGATGCGGTGCTTTGCACAGCTTACTGTTCAGTAAGATGAGTGAGCTGAGGCTTCTGGTTTAAGCTGTTGGCTACATCAGTTTCCTCTTTTACTATTCTCTCTTAGTCCCTCCAAGGTACAGTTAGTTGCTGTTTTTCAATTCACGTCAAACAACCTAAAGGGAAAACTTCCAAAGGTTTGCCCTCAGTGACTCCAGCTACAACCAGGACTCCAGAAAAACCATGCCACAAGAACACAGAAGGGCACAGTCCCAGCCCTGATGTGCTAACCTAAGTGTGCCTATGCAGATAGAACCAGATCTCACCATCAACAGATGTACCAGTGCCCACTTGCAAGCTGGGCACTGCCACCATGCACTCTCTGCTTGAACCACTGTGTAATCCTGCAAGGGGACAGGGACATTCCACTGAAGTGATACAACTGGCCCAAGCCTAGCACCCTGCAGACCTCCTTACACAGCTTCTGGCTTAGCAGCTCCAACTCATGCAAGATTCTTGCAACTGTATCTCTCTTACACTCAGCTCTTAGCACAGTTCTTGATCTATTCAGGCATTGCTTTTTAATATCTTTTAACTTTTGGCAATTAGGTCTCTTCCAAGACTTTAATCTGTCTGGTCTAGGAAACAGAAGTCAGTGAAAAAAATTCTGCTTCAGAACTAAACCCCACATCACCTAACACACAGGAAATGAAAATTATTTAATGTTCCTCTCCTCAACTCCTTTTGACCTCTGTGTCTTTTCCTTTGCCTTTTTGGCTGTCATCATTGAGATCTGGAGCAACAGCTGATGCATCACTCTACTGAGCTCTCACGAGAGAATAAAACATCTGTTCTCCTCCCTCAGACTGAAAAGACGCCTCTTTAGTTGTGTCCAACAGATTCTCAATTATATGACAGCACAGCGAAGCACAATGCATCTAAATGAGGGCACACCCTTGGGCCACAGGGGTGCCTGGCACGTGGTCAGGAACCCAAAGAGGTTTTGCAGTCTCAGGCAAGCCGCCCATCCACAGGTATCCAGGGTCCGAGACACCTGCACACAGGCAAGGGTAGATTTCTTGCCGTGGCACTCAGAGGCTGCAATGTCTGCAGAACTGCTCTGGAGCAAACACCACGTGCACCAAGCCCTGCGGCTCAGCTGGGTACTTGTGGCTTTTCTAAGAAGCTGCCTGGAAAACCCAATTACATACAAAAAACACTCATCATCATTCCTACTCACCTGACGTTCCAGCTATAAAAGAAGTGACAGTTGCTTGACTGTGGGACAACTGTTCAACAAAATCTGCCTGGAAAGATTTTATTGGCTATTGCTGTCCTGCCGAAAACCCACTGCTACAAAAGAACTCCTGCAGCTGGCACTCGTGGAAGCCCAGCCACAGCAGATCAAGATGAAGAGCCTGCCAATCACCAGTTCAAGATCCAACATGGGACACAAGGGTGGGCTGACACGGGTAAGGCAGCTCAAGCAGTACCCTGTGTCTGTTCCCGTGGCCAAAGTGCTCCAGAACTGTTCAACTGGAGAGACATTTTACAGATTTAA